AAAAATGTTGGATTGTATACCTGGGTTATTGAGCATGGACTTTGTTGTTTTCAACCAGTTTGACAAGACTGTCAATAAGGAGGAGGGCCGGCAATGGAGGAGGGGCGTACCAAAGAGACCATCTTATCACAAACAAAACTGGTTTGTTCCACTTTGGAGTAAGCTGTTGGGGGAAGAATCAGTTTTGTTGTGTGTTTCCTTGACTGATGAAGTCTTCTGGATCGAAGGTGAAACGTTTCAGAACCCAAAAAAAAAAAAAACTGTCCAGATGACCTGACTGAAAAATGTTGGATTGTATACCTGGATGATTGAGCATGGACTTTGTTAATTTAATTGTATATTTAATTAATTAATTATGTTTTTAATAATTAAATGATACACTTAATTGTTATGTATATATATATATATAATGTATTTATTTATTTCATTTAGTCACATTCTGTCCTCCATAAAGAATAGCTGCTGAATTAAAAGTCCCAAATTAAACAGTACCTACAGTCTCCAAACTGTACATTTAAGTAACTCTGGCATTGCAACATCTTCTTTTTTGTTCTAGACGCCACCAGGAGACCAAAAATTGTAACTAAAGCTGCTGATGCATAATCACTGAAGCATGTTATTAATATTCTGCAGTGATTCTGTCACAATTTTTGATGTGCTACTCTTTTGGTAAAACCTACACAAAAATACTGCACACCAAAATATATGGAGAAGCTAAAACATAAGACAGAATAGTGGGCTGTGAGTTTTTCTCGTTATCCATTGTACAGTGTACAGTTCAAGCAAAATTGCCATAGGTGCGTGGTTACCATGGCGACCCTAACGAGCCACTGGGAGCAGCTTTCATTTCTTCTGATCTTGGTTCTTCGGATGCTTCTTATACCGTTTATTGTATGAGGTTGAGTCTGGGTAAAGATAAGTCTTGGTACAGGATGTTGTTTGACTGAGTGGAAGTCTTTAATAAAGCCCGAGTGTGACTCAGTTCGAATAATTACGTCGTTCATGCTGAAAACAGTGCACAACAAAGATTTAAATCTTCGGTCAAGTCGTCCCTTGATGATTATCACCCTTCTGGTAAGTTTTGGTACTTTCCATAATTCAGTTTAATCCTCGCATGGATAAAACGCATTAGTCTGTGCACAATGGAGCAACTGTGAATAAGTACGTTGGTGTGCAGCAAAGAACGCAAAAATCTCATGGAAGGAAACCTCTGAGAGATTTAGGGATGTGAAAAAAGCCAAATTTCCTAACTGTACTGAAATGCTTCTAAATAGGGACTAGCTTTCTGTAGTTGTTATGGAAGAATGCTGTTTTTCAGCTTTTTGGATAAATGCACATTCTGCCACACCAAACACCTCCAGTGCACATTTAGTCTTTTTTTTTTTCAGGTAGATAAGGTTTATGAATATAAGAGTCACATTTTTGCTTGACTGAAGACTCATATTAGGCAGGGTCAGGGTTTTGAAACAAAAAGGTCATGGAGCTACATGGACATGTTTTCTTGTTGCTCTAATCGGCTCAGCCAAATCTTTTCTGTTATGTAAAGCACTCAGTGACGTGTTTTGTCTTTTGTCTGAAAGCCTCTTGCAACAATTTGTGTATAAAATATGAATAACATGAAGCTAAATGATGATGCAGCTGTGACCGTGCATGTCCTTTGACCGTGTTGTGTAGTGACGGTGTGGGTTTGTGTTTACCGTCTGCCCTGGCTGCACTCCCGAGCAGCTCCGGCCCTTGGCAGTGGACCCGTGAGGACAAAGAGGAAAGACGGACACCCAGTACCTGCTGACTGCCTCGTCCTCCACTGACACGGACACCGCCACCTCTGACAACAACCTCTAAGGAGAGCAAAGACAAAAACAGATCAAAAAGCTACATTTAATGTAGCGCCTGAGCCTAAAAATATCCAACAGTTTGTGCTGATCGTAAGCACAATGTCTTCTTTTCTCTGACCCACAGGAGGAATCATGGGGGACGAGGAGGAGGTGAGACTAAAAATAGCATCTTTGTGCTCATTTGTGATCAGGACACATAGTTTCTGTGGGGATCTGATGGCTATTTATAATGGTAGCTTCTGTTCTGGCCCTGTCGCTTTGTGTGTCCATGCATATGCGTAGCTGTGCACCCAGATCTGTAGATTTGACAGATTCTAGAGGGAAACAATGGAGTGCTGTGGCGCATGCTAAATTATAGCTTAGATCATGGCTGAACTAACTTCTAGTCTCATACAAACACATTTTAAAAAAGCCCTAACCTGCTCTAACAACTTCTTTTATCTGTTTTCTAGTATAACCATAACGGAAAAACATTTGCTGTAATCTGATTTATCACATTCAGAACTTTAAGTTGCAGAGAAAGTCTTTGTTGTCAGCAGCACATCCCTTTTAATAAAGCCCGTTCTGAAATGTTCAGAAACCTTGTTGTGTGTGCAGATCAGACAGCAAACACATCCGTTGTGTTTTTGGGAAAGAGATGTGTTGGCTCTTTTTGTGCTGCTGTCTCTGCTGGAAAGGCAAAAAGGACATTGAGGAAGGACAAGGAGCTCTTAAAGGGGAAGCACATGTAAGCAATTTTACCTTGTATGCATCTACCACCAGATCTATGAGGTTTGGCCCCTGGAAGAGGCCTAACTTCCCCAGGTGGGATCCAGGCAGCAGGCGAACCAACTCCTAGAGACGGAAAGAGAGGTTAAAAAAATGATTCAAATTGATCTCTGCCCATTAAAAAAGTCTTTGAAGACAGAGGATGTTGCAGTCTTTGTCCATAGTCATGCAGATTACCTCATACCACTGGTACTGCAGCTTCTCCACAGCAAAAACGGAGTAGATGTGGTTTTCAAGCAGTTTGTCGGAGAGCTGACCCAAGCTGGGATGATCCTGTCGAGGTGGGAGTTTTTAAAGCAGGAGTTTACCTTGTGGTTTGAATGCTTCAAACGGCTGCGTATCAAGTAATACCAGTTTAGTTGTCTCACCATCCTGGTGCTGCCGGTGTAGACATTGTTCTCCAGGTGACAGCGGCCGTCATGTGGCACGACAATCCCACCGAGCCGGCTGTCCAGGGCGAGGTGAGACGGCTGGTCAGTCATCAGAAGCAACAGGCGCTTCGCCTCCGGTCGCCATCCGACTGCATTCTGACCAAAGGTAGATAGATAGATAGATAAATGAATGAATGAATGAATGAATGAATGAATGAATGAATGAATGAATGAATGAATGAAGGAATGAATGAATAACTGCTGAGATGTCATATTGCAGTTTGACACAAGTTCAGAAAAATTGTTTTCCAAGAATAAATGTTGAGATGCTACGTCAAATTTTAATAAAAACCAAAAGCAAACCCTTTAAACTATTTAGATGATTACAACAAAGTCCATGCTCAATAATCCAGGTATAAAATCCAACATTTTTCAGTCAGGTCATCTGGACAGTTACTGTATTTGTGATGAAATGTTTCGCCTTCGATCCGGAAGGCTTCATCCAGAAGGTCCAGATGGCCTGACTGAAAAATTTTGGATTTTATACCTGGATTATTGAGCATGGACTTTGTTGTGTTCAACCAGTTTGACACAACTGTCAACAAGGAAGAGGGCCGGCAATGGAGGAGGGGGCGTACCAAAAAGACCATCTTATCACAAGCAGAACTGGTTTGTTCCACTTTGGAGTAAGCTGTTGGGGGAAGAATCGGTTTTGTTGTGCGTTTCTTGACTGATGAAGCCTTCCGGATTGAAGGCGAAACGTTTCAGCACAAAAAAAGAAACTGTCCAGATGACCTGACTGAAAAATGTTGTATTTAGATGATTATTAAAAGCAATGTGTAAATTAGGCTCTGATGGTCCTTTTGAAATATGAACCCTCATTTAGATGACCAAATCCCAACGAAACTGAAAAAAGCTCAGAAATAAATAAAAGACAAAGTGGAACACCTTGCAATATGTTGGAATAACAGAGAGGAGTGGTGGTGCAGAGATTAAAAGTAGATCTGTGATCAGAAAGTTGCCGGTTCAACATCCCATACTGACAACATAAAAAATTTGGGTGGGAAAAGCCTGCCTCCACCCTCATTTGTCCCATTCTGGGCCCTTGAGCAAGTCTCTTAACCCCCACCATCTCAAGTTCAAGTTGTGTTTATTTGTCATATGCAAGGTTAACACAAGATTAATAGTACAGTGAAATGCATTTCAGTACAGCCCATTCAAAGAAACATAAAGAAACACACATGGGTAGACAGGGTGTCTGAGGCTTTCAGCAACTAAGAGGCACTCCTCTTTCTTTAGATTAGAAAAAGGGAAAACATGACAGAAGAAGAGATTTAAAACAAATCCTATCTCACACTGTGTCCTTGAACAGCGCACAGCGTGAAGTTGTAAACAAAAACTGCACAAAAAAGCAACATACTAACATAACATAGACATACTGTATGTGTGTGGAGTGGGTGGGACAAGCCGCCAGGTGAACGATGCAGCCATTGGCGCCTTCACATCTCCTAGGTTGCTGCACCAGGGAAGGGGCAATCAGGGAGGCCAGCGAAGGCATGAGTTTGAGGGGAAGTATAGTCCGTGAACACTGTCCAGAGGACAACCCCCCCACCCCCACCCCACAGCCATAGTCCTGATAAGAGGTGGTGCAATGGTTATCAGCCAGCGCAGTTGAGCTCTGACACAGGTCCATGTCCTTGGGGAGGGGGGACAGAGCGTCTTGTTTCCATAACATCCAGGAGAAATTGAGATAAATAGCCATCCAAGGCCAGAGACAGATTTAGATATCAACATTTGTTTTGGGTCAGACTGAGCTCTGTTAATTTCCATCTGCCTTTACAGTCTCGCTCGTACATCTCATCTCATGGCGACTCCAAACAGCCATGATTACATACGCCGAGTCGAGCTTAAAACTTCTCCAAGATCTATTCCTTCCCACCATCTGTGAACACCGCCAGAAAGTTCCATAGTCCTGATAAGAGATGGCACGTCTATCAACTGGCTCAGCTCTGATACAGGTCCACAGATAGTTCACATGAGTCTGAGTGTTGCCAAGCACGGCACCTTCTTCACACATGCCAGGCAGCTTAGCAGCTGCTGACGTTTCAGAATTTGTCAATAATCCAGGTGACCACCAACTCCAAAAAGCAGAAATCCTGTTATCATAAATCCCATTATGTACATGAATAGTGTTTGGTCAAGGTTAAGAGGGCTCTCCTTCACCCGGTCTTCTTGTTGAGAAAATTTGATCAATTGCATTGAGAAACCAGCTGACCAGATCCATAGTTTACAATTTGGAAGATATGCAGAAAGAGGCTCTGAAAAAGGTTCACAGGACAAAGAGCAGAAAAAGGAGGAAGCGGAGGAAGAAGCATCTGCCTTGGCTGAGGGCAAGCAAGAAGAAAGTCTTCTGCTCCCTCGGGCGCCGTAGATAGCAGCTCTCTGCTCCACACTGAGGCTGTGGTAGCTCTGGGATCTGTGGTTGCGTCAGGAAGGACATTCTGTGTAAAAACAATTGTCAAGGCTTCGTGTGAAGTTTGTTCACTGTGGCGACCTCTGAAGAAGGGAGCAGCCGAAAGAAAAGAAAACAAATGATTGCTTAATTGTTGGAGGGATATTTAGTTATAAAATTGAAAATAATAATAATAATTAAAAAAACTTCTATATAAAGTACGTTTAAAAATAGTGCAAGCTGCAGTGCTGAGGCAGCCTTACACCTAAACACAGAGACAGAAACTGCACAGACAGTAAACACAGTCTATATACTGTATAAGACCATATGTTACAGCGAGCACCAAACATCTCCACCAGACCAAAAAACGACTCATTTTATTCTGGGAATAAGTTTCACAAATCCCCCCCTCACCCATTGTTAACCTCTTAAATCACTGCTTATCAACAGTCAGACTTACTGATGTGGAAAACCGTGCGTGCTTCATATGTTCAAGATTTACAAGTGTGGTAAAAGGAGAAGAAAAAACCATGCACACTCAAACATTTCATTCATCTGAACTACATTAGTTTCCACGATGATCAGGTCCTTCTGCAAAACCAAATTAGAGGAAAAGCAGCAGAAGTTCCACTATCAGACAGAGAGGCTCCGTCTTCATGCCCATGAATCACTGGAGACAGTGTGAGAAAATGGAAGGGTGTGTGTTCAAGTGTATTTAAGGAAAATCAGAGCTTATAGTAGCTATGATGTCATGGAGAGTCTATTTCTGGACTTGACCACCGTGGTGGTGATTCCCTGAAATCTGGTGAGCCGTGGCCCCCTTCACATGTTCTGACTCAAAGCCCTCCTGCAGCTGTATTGTGAGCAGCTGTGTTGCTCCGGCAGTGATGTCACTATTATATGAGATTCCAGTGTTAACATGCACTGCTGAGTCAGAGGGGCTCCACTACCCCCGGACAAACACCACCTTCCAGACAAGTCCCACCCACCTGACAGACGGCAGCCTGCAGCATGGCGTCCAGGCCTCCTTCAGGTGTATCCATGTTCCCGGAGATGCGCTGGCGTTTGATCACACGCGTGAACTCGCTCATGTTCCCGGTCATGCTGAGGACGTGGTGGAAACCGTGGGCCGGACGACAGTGGATCTCATAGTCACTGGTGACGAGTACAAACCAGACAAAGACCATTCAGGGATGTGAAGTTGTTGTTTTTGTTCGCGCAGAGCGAGAGGACCCCATGAAGCTGCAGCTCTTTTGTGACGAGGCTCACAGAAGTGGACTCATACAGAACAGGACAGCTGGTCAAATGTGTGCAAAAGTTTTAAATCCTCCCCGTTTGTTTGTGTTTTGCTTTCAAGGAGCCGCTCTCTTGTAATCTTTAAGAGTGGTCTAAGTTTTAAAAGCTTTCTGAGAGTGTTTTAAAGTTTTCTCTTTGGACTTTTGCTGCTTTTTATTAAAGTCATTTTCTTTCATGACTTTGTACTTGAAGGCATAATGAGGAAGATAATCAAGTGTACGATAAACAAAAATAAGGGTCAGTTCTAAAAAGTCACTTTACAACAAACTACCAGTAACTAAAAGTAATTTATTTATTTATTCCTAATCCACCAAAGACCTGAAAGTGGACCTGAGAGATGCATCATCCTTCAGCTGATCATCTGCTGTATGTCACTTCTCAGGGAATCACTTTGATTTGTGCTAAAATAATTTGTGTTCAACTGTGTGGTATTTTTCATACGTGCTACTAAAGAAAATGTAACAAGTTGTGTATTTATTACAAGCTGCTAAAGGCCAAAGAAAAACTTTATAAGGCCTTCAGAGGATTTAAAGAACTGTTTATCAGACGAAATGAAAGTCTGGCTCATTGGAAGCAAATATAAGGAAATGAGGGATGATTCAAGACTTTTGCACAGTACCACATGTCCAAAAGTCAATGACTGATGTTCCTAAAGCTCTTGCTGCCCTATTGTTTGTTTATGTTATGAACAAAACTGAAAATCTTATTCATTTAGAAAGGTTAGGACAGGTGAATTATCCTTCTGAACACATTTATAGTAGACGGTGGCAACAAAACTTTAGTAAAAATTAAAAATAAATGTAATTCATTTATTTGAAATCACAATGAAAAACTGTTTTGCTGTATCAAAGTTCATGCTCAATAATCCAGGTAAAAAATCCAACAATGTTCAGTCAGATCATCTGGATGTTTTTGTTGTTGTCGTCGAGACGTTTTGTCCTTCATCCAAAGGACTTCATCAGTCCGAGGAGTCAACATAAACTCAGTCCCACATGCAGCAGACTCCCACTTCTGGGATCTGCCCCAAAAACCATCTTATCACCAGCACACTTGTTGGTCCACTATGAGTGTGCTGCTTGTGGGACTAAGTTTGTTGTGGCTCCTCGGACTGATGAAGTCCTTTGGATGAAAGATGGAACATCTCAGAAAAAAAAGAAACCGTCCAGATGACCTGACTGAACTTTGTTGGTTCTCTGTAAAAATAAAAATGTTATTATCTTTGATCCAAAGTTTAATGAGCAGCTTTGGCAGTTTGTTAAAAAAAAAGAAAAAGGTCATTTCTATCCTCAGAATGATCAAATGTACTGAAGAGATCTTTAAACTTGCATCAGTTTTCATTCCTGCATGTGTGTTTGTTATTTGTGCTTGAACAGAAGCCATTATTTGTCCTAATTATAAGTTTTTCTCATAAATTATGCCCAGTTTTAATAGTCAAAACAGTTTTTTTTTTATTTTCTTTGTTTATTTTTGTATGTTGCTCAGGATCTTCAAGGTAAAAGTTTCAGGGATGAGTGCAGAGGAACATTTTGTGTATCTTTTTATGCCTCAGTTTCTCTAAAATGCCAGTAAAACATGTTCAAAGAAGAACGTTATCTAAGGAATGTAACAGGCTGTGCAGCGTGTGCTCCTCTGTTTACAGCAAGAAAAGGATGGCAGTGGGTTGCAAAGTGAAGATTAATGTGGCTGTGTCACAATAGATAACCCAACCAGCCAAGCCATTTTTCTTACCTGCAGGGGTTGTTGATCTTAGAGGGATGGACATTGATGTAAGGAGAGACGGGTTTGTCCACAAATGAGCCGAAGCCCAGCCAAAGGTCTGAGGTGTGCGCCGTCATACGAAGGGACAGAGCCACGCCGACCGTCTTCAGCTGTGTGGAAACACAGAGAGCACAAACCATGTGAGCAACCGAGAGGATTCAAGCGAAACACAGTTTATTTCCTACTTCCTCTTTTGTTATAGCAATTCCTCATAACAGATAGAAGAAAACTGGGTGGAAAAATCTGTGATGAATCAAAATTAAATAGAAATCTTGGTGATATTTACTTTTTTTAACCAGTGTGTGTGTCTGAGAGTCTTAACACCTACATGGTTGAGGTTTTCCTGCATGGAAGCTGATACATCCACCAGATAGTACAGATCCACGGGATAGCGCTCCAGCTGCTTCACAGCCACAGTGAAACTGGCCTCTGAACCTAAACACACACACATACACACAACATTCCCTTAAATGAATTATTTAATCCCTGTAAATCACTGCAATGCCACTTTAATTGGTGATAAATGACTTATCTGTGCTGCTGATTATCAATGCTGCTGATCCCTTGCCTTTTTGCTGCTGTATTCATACCTATCTGCTCAGACTCATGTTCAGGCTGCTGTTTAATATACTGTAATATTTTACATTATTAGTGTTTAGCTTAAATGTTTTTTAGCATATCGTTTAGTGTACATCTTAGCGTATATTTTAGCGTATATAGACCCTTGTATACTGTCTCTTTTTACACTTTATATTTGTGCTATTTTTGGATGTAACTGGGACCTTGAGTACAGTACAGTACCAGATGTGATGCGAATGACAATAAAGAAACTTGAACTTTAAATTAGAAATTTATCCCAATAAACACTTGAAATGTCCTCAGATCTGGAGATGCAGGGAGTCTTTGATTATTTAGAAAAGTGCTATACAAATAAAATGTTTTACTATTACTATTACCTGGTCTGAGGGTGATGCTGATGTCTTGTGGGGACACTTGTGTACTGCTGAGCGTAGCGCCAACCTCCACCTTGACCTCCGACTGCTCCATGAACTCCAGTTCGCAGCCCCTCCTGCGTAGGTTCTCCGGCAGGTCGCAGCGATGGCTCAGCCCAGCCCCGTGCAGGAAGTCCTAGAGACCCAACACAAGTCTGGATTAAAACATCAAGTATTAAACACACTTTACTGTGTGAATGTTTATGAAGCATTCACTCATGGTGATCCATTTTTCTTTTGTACGTTTTTCAGCATCTTTCTCGTTCCACGATTTTTGTGCTATTTCAATTTTCTAATCATAAATCAAAACATTCGGCTCTTTCAGGACGATCCTGCTATGACTTTTGGTCTTGGTGCAACTTTAGCTTTTTGAAATATTTAGCCTTTTCTGACATTTACAGAAAATGAACTGAGCTCATTTTACTTCCTTCAAATCTTTAGATGTGTTTACAACCTTTTACTGCTCCATTCACATTTTGTTCTGCTTCAGCTTCTTTCAGCTTCCTTCTGCAAATTCAAACTTTTTTCAGCTACTTTCAGCTAATTTCAGCTGGGGGTATTTTTTTCTGCTGTCTTCGCTCCTTTCAGATTATTTCTGCTATCTACAACATTTTTGTGCTTGTTCTGCTCAGTTCAGCTGTTTTTCAGCAAGTTCTTCTGCAATAAGCATTCATTTTTGCAAGAAATTCAGTTTCTCTAGTTAATTAGGAATTGTTTTTTAGATGAGAAGATCACTCAGAATCAAGACAAAGGACCTTCTGAACAAGACCTATCTGAGAACTTCAGTGGTGTCCCACAAGCGTTAAGCCTGAATCTGCTCTTTATGTTGGGTTTATGATGAGGTCATCTTTGTCGCAGCTTCCTGAGCCACGCTCAGTCAGAAGGAGTGAACATTTTAAACTAGGAATGAAAAAGTCCCTCTTTCTTCTGTATCACACTGCCTCCATTCACGTGTGTAATTCACGTTGCAAGGTGAGGTTTCATTCTTCGTTTGCTCACTTTCATTTTGTGACTTGAGCTCTTTGTGAAGCGCAGCGATGATGCCAGGGACACACAACAAGCTGAAAGCACTTCCACTGTTACTCACGTTTGGTTTCATTTTTTGTTTCTTTTCCTTCTTGTTATGTTTGTGCTGGAGTTAAAGAGTATATCAACAGCGTGATGTTAAAAGCACCCGTGCGGAAGAAGGAGTGACACTTATTTGTTCATCTTATTCTAGGTCTGATCTCTGAGTTTCCAGAGAGATGAAATTAATATTTAGCTGATTTTTATTTTTTTATTTGGCACTTTTGTCAAATGTGTTTTGGTGCGCTGTAGTTAGTTTTCAACAACAGCAGAAGCCGAGCAGTGTCACACCTCTGAGCTTCGGAGCAGATTAGTCAGTGTTTGTACTTTAGCCTGAGAGAAGTGCAATGCAGCAGGCCCAGACATAGATTATTAAACAGACTGTGTTAAGAACCTGACATGGGTTTAATGTAAAGTCTGTGAAAAGATCAAGAACTTTCTGCGTAAGTGTAATAAAGCAGACAAATTACCGGGGATTTCTACCATTTTTAGAGTGAAAACCCACCCGAGCATAGAGTCATACAGTCTACAGTAAAAGCTGACATGGCTCTTAAATGTATGACCATGACATGAACCTGAAAGCCAGACTGACTTCTGTTTATAATTTGATTTCCCTGTGGCGATGTTTAGCCCGGTAACAACTCTTAATACCAAAAGTTTAGAGCCTGACTTCCTGGGACTTTCCTTCAGCCGATAGATCTCCATCAGCAGGAACCGAAGGCGTTACGTGGACGCGCATGTACATAAACACTGTTGCAGCTTTATTTTCAGTGCTCGTCCAAGCGTGGCTGTGTGTGCGTGTGTGTGTAGGAGGTCATGGAGGTGATGTTTGAAGGCCCTCACATACTCCAGTGAGCCCAGCCCAGCAAGATGATGTCAGTGACGCTCAGGGCTCAAAGGGTGGGAAAGCACCTGAAGGTTTAACACACACTCGGTGAAAATCTGATTTAATTAGCATGGAGTCACAGTGTGTGTTTGGTGGCTGCAGCGGCACGGTTGAGAAATAGTTAAGATCTTTGAAAGTGGGGTTCTGTGGAAGGCTTAATGAGCAATTAATATCTTACCTGCTGTAGATGGCTCTTTACAACAGACTGAGTTTAATTCTGACCAAGCTTATGAGCTAAAGGCTTGTCAGACCGTCTTCTTCTTTTATAAGTGTTATTTAAAAATGGACAACAAAGTGATGAACTGAAATATAATGACAGGATTCCACCTAGATCTTCCGTATATAATCACATCGTCTACAAAAATATACTGCGCCTTTAAGCAAAAGGCGTTCTTGGCGTCACAACACATAGCTAACAAATGTTGTATACTTTTACTTTATTAGTTTCTTCCTTTGCTTTTTCCGATGATTCTTGAAGTCCCAGTACTGAAATATAACACCAAAAGTATCTTCATCGGTCACCAAAGTTCATGCTCTATAATCCAGGTACAAATCCAACAATGTTCAGTCAGGTCATCTGGATGGTTTCTTTGCGCCTCCTCGGACTGAAGAAGTCTTTCGGATGAAACATCTCAACAAAAAAAAAAGAAGAAAAACCAGAAGTCGTCCAGATGACCTGACTGAACATTGTTGGTACAGCATCTTCATCAATCTTTACCCTTTAAAAACTAGCTAGAAGCTAAACGTACCAAACATGTTAAAAAGACCCAAACAGTAGCTAAATTGTAATAGTAGCTAAAGACCTTTAAGTTTTTTCTGTTAAGAATGACTCTCAGCTACTACCACACCAGGCTTTAGCTCTGAATCTGTAAAAATGACTGATTTGATTAAAGCTTGTTTGGTCAAAACACAAACATATTGTTTGTGAACGTACACTTGTGAAAGATGTCAAGTTTTCTTTAAAAAAAAAATCCTACTTTTTTTAAACATTCAATTAGAGCTGGACAATACGGCCAAAACTTTTATCACGATATATTTCTTGATTTCGGTCGATAACGATTTAATTCGGTATCGATATAAACAATAGAAAAGACTCAGAAAAACTGTACAAATTGTACGAATAAATTTATTTGTATTTTGCCTTCAAAGAAATTTGAAATATACAAAATAAACATAAAACTCTCAACTTTATCCATATTAATTGTTTTAACTTTAAACAACAGCATAACCCTAACACGTGCATGTGTTTCTCTTTTGATGCAGCTGGGGCTGATGTTTCAGGGACACGTTGACTCAGACTTTTATTGTGCTTCATCTTATGACTCTCGTCACATTCTATCGAGTGAAACAAGCTAGATGTGTTGCCACCGCTAGTCGGAACGACTCTCCGACACATTTTGCAGCACTGAAACCTGCACTTTATCGGATCTTACCGAACCACTTCCACACCGTCATGTCATCTGCTATCTCTTCACTTGTTTGTTCAGTTATATTCTGACGGTCATGGGCACTCATTTTGAAGCGAAACTACCACGTGTCGGAGCTTAGCCTAGCCTAGCCTAGCCTAGCCTGCTAGCGCTGACTCCTTCGAGCTGTGGTGCACGTCACCACGCACTTACATAGTTGTGTCGCGGCTTTTTCTGTTCAGGACGAAACTGAAGCGGCCGCTTCAACCTGAACAGAAAAAGAGATGCTTCAATGGAACACTGTAATCCTACTGAAATATCAAAAATGTGCTTAAAACTCATATTACCGTTATTGAATAAAATTATATCGTGAGATATATTGATATTGAATTATTCTCCAGCCCTACATTCAATATTAACCTGTTTTAAATGCTGACAAATAAAAGATTGGCTTTAATGCAAAGATGTACACTGGTAAAAGAGCCAGTATAAAACTTGATTAACTTTCCTAAAAAGTCTTCATTAAAATATTCATTTTATTTATTTAAAACTTCTTTTGCTTGTTTAATGAGATGGAGGCAGATTGACGTGGTCAGAGCGCTGCTGTTGGCTCCACAGGCACATTTTGTCCATGTGTGCTCTGAACTCAGGCGCTCCAAAGAGCCATCTACAACAAGTAAGATATTATTTGTTCATAACCTTTCCAGATCTCAACTGTGCCTTCATGGTTTCTCAAGGCTGATGCAGGGGGTGAGCTCTTCTCACACAGAAGAGACAGATAAAGACAAACAGGGGCAGATGCAGTGATATGTGAGGGTGTAGAGACTAAACACACGGCTCCGGCTCTGAGAAAACATGCACGCAAACGTTCACACGCACGGTCACAGAGAGCAGGCTGCTGAGCTCAAACATACACATATTCTCATTGGCGGATGCCATGAAAGCTGTGGTGCGTGTCATTTGAGGAATGCTGCTGAATGTTTGCCACGTTCCCACTGTTTGCTTTATTTCCTTTTTGTCTGTCACAGACAGACGCCAAGCCCGTGCACACATTCCTACCTCCTTGAAGCACCAGGAGCACTGAGGTCCACGTCGGAGGCAGTCCGCGCACGAGGTGACGCCGGGCGACCAACATGCACCAGCCCCTGCTGATGTACGGCAACAAAAACAGATGAAAAGATTCAGGGATTAGCATATGAAAGAATGTGTGTCAACACTCATTAGCCATGCAGCAAAGCCTCTGCAGACATTAAGATCTCATTTATACGTTTAACGATGGAAGCACCACTTGGCATCTCAGATGAGGTTCTTCAGAATATTAAGGGGTGTGCATCAGCGTGGGAACAAGTGCTGGAGTTGCTGGAGTGGTTCAGCGGAGCTCTGCTGAATGTGTGTCACTGATATTCCAACAGAACCACTTTAAATACCAAGGACGTTGCTTACTGGCAGACAAAAGGAGCAGCGTGCACCTCCAGCTTCCTGTCCTGGGATTAATGATTAACTCAAGTCATTTGTCTGCTTAAATCGAATTTTCCAGAGCAATTGCAGTTGTTCACAGAGCTGGAATGTCGGACAGAGAAAGCGTGCACGTCTGAGCATCATTAACAGACCTCATTAGCAGGCCTCGCTGACACAATTAGCACTCTGACCTCTGTTAAACCCCTGCGGATGGCATGTGGTGAACTTTTTATTCAAACTGATAGATAACCGGGAAGAGGCTTTGTATTTGCTGCAGCAGTGTTGAAGAGTTTGAATCATAGAAATGATGAGCATTTTGGACAGGTGGACAGGTGGACAGGTGGACAGGTCGGTGAGGGATTCAGACTGAGTGCTGGCATGTAATCAGTTTTAGTCAAACGGACGGGAAACTCTTGACGAGGGTTATTTTAGTGGTGGTTTGTCAGGACATTGGATTTCAGTTCAGCTTCATCAGCATCCAGTGATGTAGTCTATGTGATATTCAGGTGTACGGAGTAAATCCACTAGAAAAGCTCAAGAATTTCAGTGTACGCACTTCAAAGTGCCCAATGATACGTGACATATCATTAGACACGTGTCATTAATATGTTAAACAACAGTTAAACGTATCAATGACAGTCTATCTGTGTGCAGCGCTTTGCTTTGATGCTGTTTTATAAATTCTGTAACTTTTTAATACAAAGCCAACTGTTGTACAAAGTTTGTTGTTCATTTATTCAAATATAAGCATCAGGGAATGTTGGAAATGTTCAATATGTTTAAAAATCCCAATAAATTGACGATTACTTGGTTTCTAAGCACAGCATACAAAAATGTAGACTACACGACTGGACCAGACTAATGAGGTAACTTGAATAGTAAATTGATGGATTCAGGACTTTCTAACACTCTTGTATCATCACATGTTTCACTTTAAACCACACAATTAAAATCTTTAGGGAAAATAACATTTTAGACATTTTCAACCGGAGGCACATTGTAAATGGACTGTACTTATTAGCACCTTTCCATCTACAAAGTAATTAAGACACTCAGAGCTCTTTACCTGTGTCCTCACTGACCCATTCATACCTTTACAAAGACTAGTCACACTCATGGACACACATCAGAGGCAACGAGGGGTTCCGTGTCTTGCCCACGGACACTTCAGCATGTGGAACTGAACCCCCAACTCTCCCACTGGAGGACGACTGCTCTAACCACAGCTGGATGCTGCGCGGTGGTTGAAGACTCACATTATGTAACTGGTCCCAATGAGGCTCCACTCACCCGCACTGGAAGCTTCAGCGCAGAGTGCGCGCGCCACGGCGCAGCAGAGCAGGAGGACACCCAGAGGAGGAAGACCGGAAGTCATCCTGTCGGAGATTCAAGAGGAGCCGAGCAGCTGCTGGAGGACGAACCGGCTGAAACTGAGCTCCGTGAGTCCTCCGCCGCAGGAACAACAGCCACGGGACATTGTCCTTCACGCTCTCCCCCCTCCTCCCCCCCCTGAAAACACCCCCCTCTAATCCCGGGGAGGTATTCACATCCCCCGGGTCAAATGAGCTTTATGCCGCCGGACCACGAGACGTGAAGCAATAGTTGGACAGCGGCTGTCTCACACAGTCCCTCCATTTACTTCCAGGTGTGTGTCGGACAATGGACGCCCGTCCCCCCCTGTCTCCCCCTCTGTGTCTCGGGGCTGCCGGGGGAAAGTCTGTCGCAGGTACCGAGCGGCGCTGCGTTCAGGCTCCGAATCCAGGAGTGAGCGCGAGGTGACTGACTCTCAGGCAGGCGGATGCCATGGCAACGACGCCGGCAGAAGAGGGGCGGGGCCAACAGTGAGTGAGTGAGCGAGAGAGAGAGAGAGAGAGAGAGAACTAGGAGTTGTGATGTGGTGCTTTCCAGCTGGACCGCGTCCTTGGACTCAGCCCTCGTGTCTCTGCTGCTTCTTGAAGGGAGCAGGAGTTCTCTCAAGGAGTCTGCTTAGTTAAAGGCATACTCCGGCCATTTCGACCTGAAGTTCTGTGTAGAAGAACAAGCAATATCTTACCTGTTGTAGATGACTCTTCAGACTTTAAAGCCCTTCAGGCAAGAACTTTATTTTTTTTACATCACTGTCGGCTTCACGTTATATTGCTATTTCTTGAGGATTATTCTAAACTTTCTGCAAGATTTGACACCAGCTTGTACCAAAATGGCTGGACATGTGGCTCGGAAAGGAATTATGGCTGTCCAGCAAATGCAAGGTTGCTAGTTCAAGCCCAGGTTTGGGCTTAGATTATGGGGCGGCTGTGGCTGAGTGATTAGAGCAGTCGTCCTCCAATGCGAGAGTTGGGCGTTTGAATCCACCAGCAATCACATGTCGAAGTGTCCCTGAGCAAGACACTGAACCCCTCGTCGCCTCTGATGTGTGTCCCATCGGTCTATGAATGTGATAAAGCTCTGATTAGTCTCTTTAGAATGATTTGTTCAATTAGCTTTGTTTAGATCTAGTATAGAGCTGTATGAATGGGTAAATGAGGCACAGATTGTAGAGTAACTGCTCTGAGTGTCTTGAAATAAGATAGAAAGGTGCTGCATAAGTACATTACCACCATGTGTTCTTAGGCAAGACTTCAAACCCCAGTTTTGTGTTGTCAGAAAAAGTTTAACATCTGGTCCACAGATCAGGATGCTGTGCTGTAACGCCAGAGGAGAAGAGAAATACATTTCTGAGTAATATTTCACGTTTGGAAAATATTATTAATAAGTACGAGCCACGTTGTTGGGTCTAAAAATAAATAATGCACTCATTTTCTGTGCCTTCTTATTCCTGTTCATGTTATCTGCAGCTGAATGTCCATCTCCAGTGGTCACCAGGTGGGAGATGCACCTTGATTAGATGCCAGTCCACTGAAGAAAATTTACAGATGGATAAACTGATCGATCAGCCTTACCTGTGACAATTTATAAAAACTCAAAATGATCAATATCGCCTGTCTTTCTAAAAGAGCAAACAGAAAGCAAGGTATACAGTTAAGTTGCTTTCTGTTTTTGGCTAAATTTAGCTCAAACAATTTAAAATATCTTGATCGTTGCATATTATGCCTACAAATTCAGCTAATATGACATTCTTGTTTACAACTGGAACTGTGCACGTGCCTAAATCAGCTACGCAAATGAGGCTAAATTGACAGAAGTGCAAAATGTAATAAAGTAGCATTTACAAAATTATTTGATAAGAGGGTTTTTAATGACAGCATTCCACTTTGATCTTTCAAAGAGATAAATAAAGGACAATATATTATTTCTTCACCTCTTCCACAGAACCCTACTTTAAAAATACCTGGAAACCTCTTTAATGCGTAGGGGTCAGTATATTCAGAGATTTCACAGTGTGGTTTGGTGATACAGGCAGAGGAGGTCGAGAGTTTTGTACAAAGAATCCGGTGACATGCAGTAACCTCTCCTCACGGACTGAGCTCCAGATGAACAACTCAGCTTTTGCAGCCAGAAAAAAACAGACAGGAGGACAATAGCTCCATCTTTGGCATGCCCTTGGTTGTCTCTTTTCAACGTCTGCCAAATGAAACAGACATGTTTAGCTTGGCGCGAAGCCCAAACGGTGATTAAGAGCATGCCAGCAGTGAGACCCAAAGTGCAGCAGTAAGCTCAGCCTTTATCTGCGACGCTTGACCCCATCTGTCTCCCAGGAGCCTTAAGTTGAGCCAAATCTCTCTTTTCATTCATTCATTCATCAAATGAGGATTTATTTTAGGAGGAGAGCCAAACACCTCCACAGCCTCGGCCTCAGCAGTCACTCTCAATTATGATAATGATGGAAACACACTCCACGCTGCTCTCTCTGAGTGCCAAACATCTCTGAAACATCCAGACCATTCTTCTCCACGTGAGGCTGTGGGGTGAGGGGGTGTCTGTAAGGGCTAAGTATGGATGTACTCTACAGAGCAAACTTGATAATGGACTCCAGTGTAAACACATGCTCGCCCCTGTCAATGCTGCTCAATATCAGTATCTTAATGACATCTGTCGGAGCTGTAAATCTGACACAAAGCACTCCTCCTCTGCTTCAACCTCCACATCCTCCCTCCTCGTCTCTCTCTCTCTCTTCTTTGCCTCCGGTATGTTTGTGTTAGCAGTCGGGTGGCTTTCCATCTCATCACCCTCCAACCACAAACACACACACAGACATTAATCCATGTGTCCACCATCACTCCCTTCAAACACCTCTTTCCCTCTTCAAATTTAAGCTCCGTTTTGGCTCATCACGCAGATTTTACCTCTGAATGATCTCCCTCGCTCTCCTGCCATCCTGCCATTCCTACTGAGCTGATATGGAGACAACGCAGGGGTCAACGAGGAGATGGGAGCTACATGGGGAGTCACAGATGCAAACTAAGCGTCAAAGCATAAAGTTTTGGTTTGTGAAATTCCTTTTGTTTCTGAAAGTCAACTTTTGTCTGTCGCTGTATTTAAATGGAGAAAACGATTTGTCCGACAGTCTCTGGTGCAGTTAGAAAGAGCAGTTTTACTTCCTGTGGTGTGGTGAATATGTCAGAATGTGGAATAATGTGCTCCAAATTCCCCTTAGTGAAACCAGACCATCGTCAGCCTCCCACTCTCACCACTCAGTCTTATTCGCATGCACGCTGACGATGAGGGGGTTCTGACGTCTGCTTCATCCAAGCGCATTCAGTAAACGATAATGTCAGACAGATTTAAATAAACCCACAAACATTTACGATGCAGGTCCAAAAATAGCGCAGACATTTTCAGTGTTCCTGTTTTGTTTAAACACACAGAGAGTTCCTTCAGTGGAAACTGAACGTAGAACTGAAATGTTTGAGGTGGTAAATCAGTCACATTGTCTGATATGAGCACTCGTGCTTCTGTTTTTTTATTTAATTTCCACAGCATAAAGCAGTTGTTCTGTGAACTGGATCACAAATGCTTCCTGAAAATGAGACAACAATCACTTGTGGTTTGATACGAGGGCTGTATCTTTACAGATTCACTGAGCTAATCTGTAGATTTAAACTAGCACAGTGTTCTGTTTTTATAATGACTGACAACAAAATGCTGTTTTCTCTTGTATCAGAACTATATCACAAATCGAGGTCAGCGTGTTCAAACTGTGAGTAGAAAAGAACAGACTTTAAAGAGACAGTCTGCTGATTCTTTTTATGTCTCACAGTTATCGCCAGAGATGGAACCAAGTCAGCGTTTCACAAGTCTCAAGTCCTTCCATATGTAGATCTTATTACTGTTTTTCTTTACAATTTATACTTTTGCTGGATGTCACTGGGACCCTGTGTACACAATTCTCACCACATGTGCCACATCTAGAGCTGTCATTTCTAACCTGCGCCTGAAGCCCGGTCCAACCCGACCTGAATTCAGGGCGGGCCATGATAATGTGCTGGATGGACGGGCTGGGTCAGTGTCAGGCTTTTGATTGTGTCAGCGAATCCAATTATATGGCAACATGGCTTTCCATAAAATCCAAATATATGACAGCATGGCTTGCCATACAGTAACCAGCCACATGTGACCATTTCACTGCAAACATCAGCCTTGAAAGAGGTTAAAAAAAGTTGAGTTAAGCTTCAGATGGGACTGTACTGTCAGGCAGCGATCCTTCGCCCAAATGGACGTTCATTCAGCTGCTGCACTCAGCGGACGCACGCGGCCGACGACCCAAACAGGTGAGATCACTAAATATCAGACATGTCAGAGCAGGAAACGTGTCTGAATAAATCAGAACGCAGCAGAAGCAGAGTTTTAATTCTCTTTGACGGCCATGAAAGAACAAACACCCCCTCAGCTCCGATCTTCTGCCCCTTTTATTCAGCCGCGCGTCACCGCGGTAAAGTTCGTTTTACGTTGGACATTCGAGCTCCGTGGCTTCAGCGGTGTGTTCCCCTCGTTCGATCCGATGCAGGCAGTCTGATTTCAGTCAGCCAAACTCGAAGGAGAGGAACGCTTAATAACAATACAAGCAGTCAAAGCTTAATTAAAAATGTCGGGGGGGTTGTGTGTGTCGGGTTCTGACCTGTAATTACTGTTAATTCTTCAGGACGGTTGGGGTTCGGAAATTATGGCTACAGGTTTGGGCCGGGTTGGATTTTTTGGGCCCGAATGCAACTCTAACCACATGTGGTGCGGACGACAGATAAAGAAACTTTGATTTTGATAATCTCAAGTCAAGATGTGGAAGTCCCCAGTCCTGATTTTGACTATTAAATAAGTCATCTGATCAAATGTATAATTTATTTACAAGTTTAAATTATTATTATTTTTTATCTGTACATCAGTTTAATCTGTCAAAAGCCAGGAAAGTACAGTTGTTTTATAAATTTTATAAACCTAAAA